AAAAAAGAGAGACCATTGTACCAGGAAGTTTTCTGTAGGTTTGTGATTGCTTCCAAATTAAAAAGTATATTTTATAAAATATATATTAAAATGTTTTAAGTATTGATTGTCATGATTGGTGTTAAAAAGTCCTTGGGTAGGTGGAGCACAGAGGATTTTAAGGCAGTGAAAATACTCTGTATGATACAATAGTGATGGATACATGCCGTTACACATTTGTCAAACCCATAGAATGTACATCACCAAGAGTGAGCCCTGATGTAAACTTTGGACTCTGGATGGTGATGACATGTCAATGAAGGTTCATCAGTTTTAACAAATGCACCACTCTGGTGGAGGTTGTTGATAATGGGGAAAGCTATGCATGTGTAGGGGGCAGGGAGAATACGGGAAATCTCTGTATTAACCCCTCAATTTTGCTGTGAACCTTAAGTTGCTCTAAAACCTTTATAAAAAAAAATGTGTTTGGTACAGTAAAATTGTATTAACTGGAATGCATGAGACATAGTGTTTTGATTCATTTGACTTAATGGTCAACCAAGTGAAAAATGAAAATTCCTTTCTCTTTCAATCTTCAGTTGGCATATTTCCAAATATATCAATATGCATCACTGCCTTCAGAAGTTGAGTAAAATACACTTGCAATAAATGTATTTAATGATCTGTTTACATCATAGCCTGCCATCTATTAATGTCTTTTCTAAAGTTTTCTTCTTTTCTTTTTTTTTTTTAAGTTTTTTTCAGTAGAGCTACTCAGGGTGGAACAGACTGAGTTAAATCTGTGATTTTGCAACATATATGGCTTTAAAAGTTGCTTTCAAAGATAATTCTTTGACATTGGCTATGGCAAGTGGAAAATATGGCGATAGTTAAAGGACTTAGAAGATCGGGTTTTCTTTTCAAAAGTGGTATCCAAATTTTCTTCCCATCTCAATTTGCTAAAACCTTCTAGCAATATAAGCATTAAGTCCTCTTCTAATTCCTGTAACAGAAAACTCTATAGGCCTTAGGCTGTTTTGGTTTCTGCACCTCAGGGCCTTCATTGTAAAATGAAAGCTATGTTGATAGTATGTATTTCACAGAGTTCGTATCTTATTTAGCTTAAGCTTCTTAGCTAAATAAGAATAGTGGATGGAATTCGCTGAACGTACCTGCACTTACTTTGTTTTCCCCATTGAGGACATTGGCATCTTGATTTTAAGGTCAGTCAAGATCCATTCAATATCTGAAAGGGATCTTTCTATAAAACTTGAAGAAAAGAGTGGAAATACTTTTTTGGAAATAACTGAATATACTCCACAGAATGAGAGCCTCATTTATTTACTGAATTAAAAATAAATGAATTATGGTTGTATAGACTAGCATAAATCTAATGTGCAATGGAGTTTTGAGGAAATTTCTTCTTTCTCCCCTTGGGTGAAACCCTGAAACAAGGAGAAAAGCATGAACTCTATTCTGGTTCAGTCTGGACAATTTTGTTGCTTCCCCATCTGCCTACTATTTTGGGGGGGATTACGCCAGTCTACACTGAACTGCCATGTCCTCCCACCAGAGATATTAAAAATCACAGAACTATTTCCCATTCTCTGTCTGCAATTGCTCAAATTTGATTTTAAGGTAACAGAGTCTGTATTAAAATTCACTTTGCCTCTACTCTGGCACACAGTAACTATTAACCTGGGAAAGCATCAGGTCCTCGCTTGTCTTAAATTCTGCTGCTGGATATTTCTCATTCATCTGGAGGATTTGCGATCCCACCAATACCTGCACTGTTTTGCACAGGCTCTCTGCTGTGATATGGCCATGGAAGAGTATTTTCGTCATTAAAGGCCAGGTAAACATACATCTCACCCCGATGGAGGCATGCCACCCCCATCACATTCATTGCCATGTTTTAAAGATATTACTAGGTCACCACGCTGTAGAATTTAACTGTTATTTTTTTATAATCCATATTATGAAGGCACAGCTTCACATAGACTGAGCCTTATTATTCATTTCCTATAACATTATGGAGAACTTCATGAGAAAGGATAAGGAGAGCAGAGCAGTATGTCTCTGCAGACAAGGAGAACATGCAAGTCACTGCTCTTACTAAATAACCAACATTTCTCATGCTGTTTTTTGGCACCGAAGAAGTTATGTTTTTAAGCATTTGAGTCACAAAGGCCATCATTATGAAGGGAGTTTTAAGATTACAAAAAATCACACCCTTCATATTTCCATGGTGCCTCACTGAATTTTTTGCTTATCACTCAGCTTTGTCACAAGGTTGTAGTCATCAGTGAATGATCACTGAATAAATGAGGAAGTTTTATGCCATCCCCTCCTATGCCTTCCTGCCCCCCGCAAAAAAAATCCTCAGATACGAATGCCAATGTTAATAAGTTGAATTAGAAAAGCAGAAGTTCTTTGTAGATTTATAGTCATCATTGTGTATTGAACAGCACACAATCAATTTTCAAATTCAAGTTTTAACAAGAGATAAGATGACCTTGAATGAATTCCATTAGGACTATTATACTAATATAAGGTCTGCAAAATTTAAATGTTGAAATATGGAATTAGAGACAGTAAGAGAAGGTTTATTTCAAAGTTTATATAAATGCTGATAAATCATAAAATGAGAAAATTATTCTAAACAAGCTTATATACAATTTTCTGTCCAGATTACATTTGACATGTGGTAACAGAAACGTGATTAGCCTGGACTGAGCTAGAAAGCAATGTATTTGTCATAGATACAGAAACCTGGAGATGCGGCATTCAGGGCTAGCATGGCAGCTGCTCGATGCGATGCTGTCAGAGACCTCTGCTCCTTCCAGTGTTCTTGTCAGCCCAGCCTAGCACATGGCCTGTCATCTCAACCTTCTGTACCTCAGGGCATCTTGACTTTGTCCCCAGGGAAGAGTAAAAAGCAAAAGGGCAGAGTCTGAAGGGTAACTGCCAACTGACTGCCTTTCTTACCATCTTTTCAGGAAATCACACTCAATGACTTCCTTTAAATCTCATTGGCCGGAAGCATGACACGTGGCCACCCTAGTAGCATCAAATTCTGCCAAAATACATGGAATGGATATCCTTTACTGTTTTGATAGTATAATGTAACAGACATACTGTATCTTCATTTCAATAAACTATTTGATTAGATCTCCTCTGATTTTCTTTTCACAATCTTCAACAATACAATTTACTGTTTTAGAATATCTTGTGGACAAATGTTTCAATTATATTGGACTGACTTTAATCTTTGTGATAGTAAAGATTAGTTCCATCTGTTTCCCCACTGCTCCTAGATTAGGACTTCCTAGAATAAGTTGGCACTGGACTACAATAAATGTTTAGTCTAGTCAGTAGCTATTCATTTAAAAAATGAAGTATTGTCATGTAATGGAACCTCAATAAAGTGTTTCATGTTCTGTAGCTATCTTCCTGATAACATTTTAATATTCTAAGGCAATAATGCAGGAAGATAACTAATGATTCCAGCATTGAATCCTATTGTAGGAAAGACTTTTACCTACTTTCTGCCACACATGGAGTACCTATACTCACTGACTTATTAGCAGTCTTCTCTCTCTAACCCAACCTCCCACCCAAGGAAATAAATTAATCTGATTATTCAAACCCAGAGATTCTGATTATACACAATTATTCATGGGCGTTGCCACTGGGTATGCACTCCCTGGTATGGCTTCAAAGAGAGGAGCCCAGGCTGCGAGATTTCTCATTGCCGTTTCCCTTTCTGTATCACATTGCAGAGTTGGTAGGCAAAGTCAAGGAGCACTCTGACATTTTGGTGGCCTTTCCCTGACTCTCATGCTGTGTCTGAGAGAGTAAATGGAATCTAGCCATATCTTTCTCTCTCACACAGGTGAGAGAGCCTGCTCACCTCAATGTTTAGAATGTAGAGGTCTTGGGGTGACAAAGGTGTTCAGGGAGTTTCTTTCTGACTTAAAGCCAAAGCCAACGATTGAGATTCAAACAGAGGTATGTGCCATGCCAGAGCCAGCTCTTGGCTTAGCAACACTGTCACCACGTTAGCTCAAAGGGAGAGGGGAATTTCAGTTCTTGTCCTTGGTTAGACTATATTACCTTATATAACTCAATATTGGTTCTCCTAGTTCTGGGCAGCAACTTGGTTATTCTTGGTGATCAGATATTTTGGTGTGGTGACTGTCATGAAGGCATAGTTAACTAAAAAATATGCTTATAAATAATAAGTGTCTCCTCCATCATGTTGTTTATTTACAAAATATTTAGAGTAAGATAGAGAAGAAATAGGAATCAGGAAACCAAGAAGTCTAAAGATGACAAGGCAGAAACACTTGTCAGGGAGAAACTGAACTCAAGCTTTCAATGAAGACTATACTTTTGGATACATTAAGTATGTTATATTAAATACATTATATAAAATGCATATAATATAATAATATACAATAAAAATTGTTGTAACATATAATATAAAGGAATCCTTGTATTCTCGGGCTGGTCTTTTCAGCACAGGAGAAGTCAAAGCTATAGAAAATAGAGTTAGAAATACAAAGAACATATTAGAAAAAGTTTGTGTAAGGATAAGCATGTCATAATTTCCTAGATAGTTACTGAAATTATGTCTACAGATTTAGCTCCAAGCTTTCTGGCAGCCAGAGAAAAATGAGATAAAAGATTAGTTTTAATTTCACATTGTACAGGAAGAACAGTCATTTAGTTGCTAGCACGACAACCATATCTTAGCCCTATTGTTTGTCCACTTAAAGTTTTCTTGATGAATGCTTTTGAGGTGCAATCGGAAGCCGGTTATACTCATGTACTCCCTACAGTTTCTTTCCACTGTTCTATGAAGATTTCCGTGGACCCAGTGTTCACGTCTCTGGGTACCATGGAAATGGTTATGAGCTACAACCTGCCTCACCCTGCTGGAATTACAAATCCTGTCTATTGTTTTCCATCTTCAAATGCATGCCCTTGTGAATTGATAGTATTTCTGTTCCTTTTAGAGAACGTTCTATATCTGAAATCTCTCTAGAGGTAGAAAACATAGTAAAAAGCCAATTTAGTCCTGGAATATACTACACTTTCCCAAGAGAGCCGGAAGAGGAGAATAAAATATGTGCCAAAGCAAAACTCCATTTCCCTTGTCACACATCAAAGAAAGACATTTTGATTTACAGGTAGGTAGTTCGATTATAGGAATTCTAGGGCACTAGGAAGTGACCCGAAGTCCTTTTAGTTTTTTAGTGCTTTTGCTCAGTAGCTGAGAGTTCAGTTCTTCTTATAATTTAACTGATATCTCATGGGTCTTCTAATCACTAATACCCTAGTGTGACTATATTCTTTCCAGCCAGACAATTTTCTCAGAAAATATCTTGGATATAATCAGGGACAAATGACAAATTAATATATTTTGGATGTGAAGAAGTTAGAAAAAGAGAGTTTAGAATTCAGTTTATTGCATGACAGTTGAACCCTTTATTACAGGATAGCTCTGCCAGGGGTATGATTAGTATCTGATTCAATGTCAGATGTATGAATAATGAACACTGCTGGAATTACTTCATATCTCTTGTAAGGCCTGAGTTATAAACAGACTTGGAAGGTTTGGGCCATGTTTAAGCATTTCTAGATGTCCTTATAAAAACTATTTAAAAAAAATTTAACTAGAAGTAGAAAAAAACACAATTCTTTCCTTAAAAAAGAACAACAAAAACTGAAAACTAGTGTTACATTACATTAATTTTATTAGGTTTGAAAATGGCTTATTCTAGCTTCCTAGTCAGGAACATCTAGCATCTAGTAAGTATCATGAGTTACACATAGTAGATCCTTTGTGTGTGTGTGTGTGTGTGTGTGTGTGTGTGTGTGTGTGTGTGTGTGTGTGTGTGTGTGTGTTTCAGTAAAAGTCTATTTATAAAAAGCAGGTAGTGCCCAGGGAGCATGGTTTGCTGGCCTGTGATCTAGAGACATGTAAAAGATGAAGTGGTTCTGAAAGATCTGAGTTTAAATCCCATCTCTACCTCTTACTGGCAGTGTAACCCAGGGAAGTTAAGTAACATTTTTTGAAAATTAAATTACAGTTAGCGTACAACATTACATTCATTTGATGTGTACAATGCAGTGATTTGACATTTATATGCCTCACAAGGTCTTTTCTTATGAACTCAGAAGAAGGACAGGTCTCCCTATTTCTTTCTGTCTCCTTTAATAGCAACCTATATTATACTTCAAAATCTATCTTGTATAGAACATGGCTGACTCTTGCAGTTTATAAAGAAACATTTTACCGAAACATTTAATTATTTGTAGGCTGCCTGTGTAATGCCTTTCAGATTATGACATTATATGTGCATTGTAAATATTAATTAAACACAGGCTTTAAAAATAAGTAATATAGTCATCTGGCTTTTGTTAATAATTTTGATAACCACTGAGAGGAAATAAAGCAAGATTTCACAAGTGCAAATGGTGTGTAATTTTGAGAGAAAGTAAGAACACAATTGCTTTTTCTCTTTACCAGGCCCACAGCCAAGCCATTGAGAGATGGGCCCATGGGAGACAAATTACCTCCTGGAGCTCACGTGCTCCTGGGACTTTCCCGTAGTACCACTTGGCCGGTTCCTGGACAAGGTAATTTCCCACATCTCTTAGTGTCCTGCTCCCAAAGGCACATTCATCTTTCCTTGTCAGAAGAAGGTTAAGGTCTGGAGTTTCATGTTTATGATCATGAAGTATATTTTAGCTAGAGAATATGAGAAAGAATTGAGTTTTCAGTAAACTCATTCATTACCTTGACTTCGGAGCTGTTAAATTGATACTACCTGATGAAAAGAACTAACTTCAAGTGAGAGAAGAATCTGAAATATGGTTGTACCATCAGAGGTCTACCTGTGACAAGAAATGAAAATCAAATCATCTAGGCATTGCCAAGTAAAATGTTAGTAAAACAGAAACATAATTTTAGAGTCATCATATAATGAAATGATGGAAGGGATATCCCTTTATTTAGGTTTGTTTTAATACCAACCAAACTGTCTTTTCAAAGTCTGTGAATCTCACTAGTGGAAGGCTGAAAGAAGGCTGGAGGGCATACATGGAAGACTTAAAAAGCTAGTATGGGCCTGAAAAACTGATAGCTACATATGGATATTTGGGAAAATGTTGATCAGAAGCATCTGAAAATGTTAACCTCAATTAAAAAGAGAAATGAATAAAAGTAGGTAAGAAATTTGGTTGTGAAGAAAGTGGGGGGGGAATTAACTAGATAAGACAATATTTATTGATAAAATAACTTTTAAAGGTATAATATACATGTTTGAGATCATGTTCTGTCTAAAATTTCTTAAGATTGGAAATAATTTTAGAATATGAGAAATTTCATAAAATATTAATTAGACACCACAGCACTCCTTTTAGTATTAGAATGTTTTTTTCAGGTTTACTCTCTATTTAGGGAAATCATGAATACCACTTTGTACTTAGGAAGCTACTACTTTTTTCTTCTAATTCATTATATTTTGTTGAACTAAATATGTCAAATCACATATTCACAGAAATGTTCACATTGTGGGAAAAATACAAAAATGGAATGGTATATATTTTTTTCTGACATAACGACTTCGTGATAGGTGCAATCATGTCTTATATGCAAACAAACAAACAAAAACAAACCAACAAAAAAAACAACCCACAAATGATTCTTATTTTTATTCACTTTATTTATAAATACTATTAAATTCCTATTATCATTATGATAAATTCCTATTATCATTAAGACGCCACACTAGGTGTTATGGATACAAAAAAAAATCGCATATGGACTCTGCCCTTCAAGTATTCATGCTTCGGCTCTTCCCTGTCTCCGTTCTCTCTCCCTTCTGTTTATCCCTCCTCTCTTCAGAAGGAGACCGTCAGATGGGCCTTCTGCTAAAGGCTCTGAGTGATGGAGGAAAATAAGCACAGGACTGGGCATCCTTAGAGCCAGGACGTTGTTCAGACTCTGCCTCTGAGCTTTCAGGTCTTACTAGTCACTTCCCCTTTCTGAGCTTTGGTTCATAGATCTAACTTGCCATAGTGATCTCTCTCAACTCTACCTGTGCACAAGCTCCTTTGAGAAACAAAGGACAGACATACTGCATTTCAAAGTCACTGGCTTTAGAGGCAGGAGCGTAGAGTTTGAATCTCTGCTCTATTGCTTTAGCTGTGTGGTTATGTCTCATCATGTTCATAGGGGGTTGTATTATTCACCTTGTCTGTGTTAGGATTAGCACTATTGTTAAATATATGAATAAAGGTCTGACACTTAGGACATTATCAATTACCCATCCTAAACTTAGGACATTATCAATTACCCATCCTAAGCAATTATTTTCCCCAGACACACGCTGTTTATGAAATGACTGGCCAAGCCTCCTGAGCCTGTATATCAGAGGCACCAGGATTTTCTCTAACTCCACACCTTTGCTACAGAGATCAGCAAGGACGCTGGGTGCACAGCAATGGCCAAGGAGCTTGAGGCTCTGTGAAACGAGGGCTACTCTGGAGTAAATTGTCATGTTCAAAAAATAAAGAATGAGTCAGACCATGCCTTTCCACAGGAAACAGACTAGTTGCAGCAGAAAACATGTGGAGTTAATTTGGTTAGTAAGGAACTATTAACATCTTGAATTCCACACAAAGACTCCTACCCTTGGAGTTTTTGGATGATTTACAGAACCCCATTATAGCTCTGTATAAATGTAGTGGGTACATTATAAAAGGGCAAATCAAGGATGACTATTGTTACAGTGCATGCTTGTGTTTTGTGTATATTCAAAGCTTTACTCCACATATGTAGCCTTTACTGATATGGAGCCTAGGGATTTTGAGGGAATTGAAACAAGAAGTAATATTTACATAATGTTCTTTTGAGTACCATTTTGGCTAAATTTTGAAATCTGATTTTAGAATAATGTATACTTGGAATGAGTCAGAAGAGTATGCTATGCTTCTACAATATGGAAGTCAGCAGTAGTTGGACTAAATGGATCTTTCATTAATTTAGGGTCCCAATTGACTGCTAATGTTTTGTCATTCAGAACACAAAATTTGCTTTTTGTAATAGTTTCTGAAAATCTTATAAATTTTCATATTTATGGAGATCCATGTCTTCATCACTTTTACTTTCTTTTGTGTTTGATGCAGGAAGAATTGAATTTGTTTCTGTCCGAATGTCTCACCACCTAAGCTTCTGTTTTATTCTGGTTTGTGTTTTGGACTTTCCTTGCTCTCCAGCCTTAGACAAAAGGTATCTCTCCTCAGGTACTATCTGTAGTGTTTTTTTGTTGTTGTTTGTTTTTCTATTTTTTGTTTGTTTGTTTATTTTTAAGAACCTCTGTGGTGATTGTAAAAGAACCCTTAAGGACACAATATTGGAACAGATAAAAAAAAATTAAAACTTTAGAGCTAACCATACCAAGACCATTATACAGTAATTTAGCTAATCTCCAAAACTAGTTACATAAAAAGAAAATTACCTAATTTGTTTTACATTTTTCAAAGAGTTTTTTGCATATCTGAAGACCCTAGCATTCTCTTATATATAGATCTAAGGTAATGAAATCTTTTCCTGGACTTTTCTTTTTTTATTCTTTAGGAATAGATTTTGCATTTGGAAAATGCTTCTTTGAAAACATTTTGAAACTAATTTTGTTATAATAAAAAAATGTACCATTTTAAAGCATTAATGATATTCTAGATTAATATTTTTTCTCATTATTAAAGTTTAAAATCTAAAGATCTTAGAAAAGTACACACTATTTACACTGGTATATACAATGGTATGTGTGTGTATACATATTATATATGGCTATTTATATATATATGTTATATATACACATACATATAAATGATTTAGAAATTCTCACAATTCGAAATAGTTTTAAATCTGCAATTATGTCAACCACAATAATCTTAGCTCTATTCTGCATTCTCACATAATATTTTAAAAATGGCTCCTTTTTATGAGTGCTTATGAATCAGGCAATACACTGTGTCCTGTGTCCTGTGTCCTTCCCAAATGTTAACTCATTCATTCCTGACAAGAGTCTTAAGTTTTATGAATTATTATCCCTACTACTAAACCAAGGCTCAGGATCAAAGTAGCCCAAGGTTATACAGCTTTTGAAAGGCAGAGCAAGGATTACATTAACTCCTTGATTTTAATCACTACACTGGCCTTTTTAAAATTACATTAACTGTCTTACGTTAACCAAATGGATGCAATAGAAAACACTTTTAGGAACTCAAATAGAGGAGCAATAAGCCCATATTGTTTACATCAATAATACATAATGAGTAATAAAATATAACTATTCCTCATGTTAAGCAAATGTTAGAAGAATATTATTTCATGAAACAGAAAAATTGGATTGGGATTAATGACTTCACAGATGGAATCATTATTAGTATCTCACAAATAGCAATTAGGATCTAGGCTGAAAAATCAAACCTCATTAGGTTAATTGATGCAAGGAAATGGTTAGATGAACTGAGAGTGAGACCACCCAGAAGTTAGCAAGAGCAGAAAGCTGTTATAGGATTGGACGGGCAGTGAGAACAGGTGGTGTTACAGGAGTCCAGAAATCATGGCTGACTCACAGCTGCTGGAATCCTGATGGATGGGCGGTGGTCAGGAGAGAAACCAACTACAACCAGAGCCACCAAAGAAAGAGAAAGGAGAAATACCATGGTTTCCTCCTGGAGCATTCTGATCACGATCATTGATCTCAGCCTTCTAATGCAGATTCCACTTGGGAGCTAGAGGGCAAGGGCTCCTGTAAAAAAAAAAAAAAAAAAAAAAAAAAAGGGGGTTTTCCGTAAAATGCAGCAAAACCGAAGAAGCCTAGGCAACAGATCTCAGAGAAGACAGTTCAGCTATCCTTCCTACTTGTCAACCCACCAAAATTAACCAGATGGTTTTTGGATAAATCATTTAACTACTGTGAAATAGTTTCCTCATGTAGAAAATAAAAACATTACGTGGTATTCCTGCCTCATAGGCTGATTGAGAGAAGTAAATGAGATGGTGAATATAAATTCTCCATTTATATGATAAGGCCCAATGAAAATACAAATATTTACTACATTTATATGCAACAAAGAATAAATGTTTTTGCTCTATTGATAAATGAGCTGTAGCAACAATTTCTAATGCAAAGGTAAATATATACTAGAGGCAGCTCACCAATCCATGTGATTGGGGAAAGCTTTTATTGCTGATTTTGTAAGGATGGTGGAAAGATACAATTATCTCTGATTAGCGCTGGAATTTGTTTGATATATTAATTTAAGTTTATGGACATGTAATTGCATGTATGTTAAAATAATTAAACAAGGAGGTGATTAGACTGAGGTTGTTCTAATGCCTTGGTAGCAAACCAAAACCTAAGACAGACTCAATGCACTGGAATCTAAGAAAATGAAACTTAGAAAAACCAATCACAAAGAGCCAAATGGGATTTCCCAAATAAGGTAACTGCTTAAGCTACAGCCAATCCAATCATTTCCTTGCTTTGCTTCAGGTTCTTCTCTATAAAAGTCTTGCCCTTAGCTCCTGTTGGTGGAGCGCTCCTAGCTACCTTTGGTTTGGTGCTGCCAGGTTGGAATCAATATATACTCAACTAAACTCTTAAATATCTTAATGTGCCTCAGTTTATCTTATATCATATATGTAAAGGAAAATATATGATAGAAGATAACGTAAAAAATATATAAAATATGTAATATACATTTTTTTACTTCGAGACCTCACACAATATGATGGTTTTATTTGATATAATACACTAATTTGATATTAAAGTTTTGGGGTAGAAATTGTACTGATGTGTGAATTTTGATGTCCCAACTTGATTAAGTTAAACCATCTTTGATAATATACAAATAACTGTAAAAATACTTTTTGAGTAATTTGTCCTGATGCTGTGCAGTCCATACTCTTAAATGCATAAAAAATTGTGTTCCTTAAGTTGATTATGTCAATTTATGATGTAATGAGAGCTTGAAATGCAGTTTTACATAGAGTCACAAGACCTCTTAGTAATAACAAGATTTATACACAATGAGTTACAAATATTATTTGTCCTTAATATTAAATCAAATGTCCTGAAGTATATTTAAACAGAAAAAACACCTTTAAAGCAAAAAACAGCTCAAAGTACCCTTATAATGACTGACCTAGCACCAAACCCTGACTCTTACAGAATAGCTAAAATGTCAGGTTTTGTAGCTGACTCCAGCAGTCGCCAAAGGGATACTAGAGTACATACTGAGAGTTGTGTTGACAGGCAGAGTATGGTTGGGGAGAGAAATTGCACAGATGGGAAGGCCAGGTAAGCAGAAAAAACAAAAGGAGGAAATACGAGACATTCACGGATACTATGACATCACAGGAAAACATGAGAGCAAGGTAAAGGGTTCTCAGACAAAAGCAATGAGAAGGAATTAGCACACTGAAAGATTGACAAGTGGGGAAAGAATCGAGGAAGATTAAAGATAGGGTGGAATCTTCCTGACTGCAGAAGCATTTATTATAGTGGTGACAGGGAGGAAAACTATTGACGTAGAGGAAGGAGAAATGAATGATGAGGAAAATTTCTTCAAAGGCACTTAAAATAGGCAAAGATCTGCATGCAGCCACCCTTGTATACCTAAAATAGACTCATTTATAAGGTTGATCTTCAGACAGTGGAATTCGGTGGTAGTTTTTATGTCCATCATAGTTTATTTTGAAACTTTTTTACAATGAATAAACATTACTTAACTAAGGTGAGAAAATTTTGCAAATTTTAAAGTTAATATTATATATATATATATATATATAATTTAAAGTTATATATGCACTAAAAAATGGCAGCAAGTAGAACAAAGCATCCATCATGGTTATCTCTAAATGTTGGGTGAATTTTCTTCTTTTAAGCTTTTTAAATAATATTTAAAGCATTTATTTTCTCTAAAGCCAAACAAAAGCATTATAGGTTTGTAAAAGAATGGGATGCAATTCAAATAAAGCTATATCAGCATATTAAAATTGACCAAGTATTTTTGCTGAGTCACTAACACACAATGAGAGATGAAAATCTTTACTTCTCTATGAAGTAGGTTTCACTGAATAGTAGAACAAGCCTTCTTCAATCATGAGGGTTGCCACGTTATTACCACGTAGAAGAGTAGGCTTTTCTTAGATGAGTTATCACTCTTTTTATATGCATATATAAAATGTAAGTTTAAAAATTTTCATTACTCAGAAATTAACCCCCTTCCCTATTAGTAATCACTCCCCATTCACCACACACTACATCCCCTTAATCGCAGGCACCATTAATCCCATTTCTCCCTCTATAGTATTGTTCATTCTAGGCATTTCATATAAATGAAACAATAAAATATGTGGTCTTCTGTGACGGGCTATTTCCACTTGGTATAATGTTTTCAAAGTTCATCCATGTTGTAGCATGTATCCATGTATCAATACTTTATTCTTTCTTATTGCTGAATAATCATACAGACATATCATATTTTGTTTGGCCACTCCTCAGTTGATGAACAATTGGGTCATTTCCACTTTTTGGCTATTATAAATAATGCTACTATGTGTCTTAGCACACAAGTTGTTGTATAAGAATTTATGTCTGAATTCTTGATTAGTTTCTATCAATCTATTTGTTCATTCTCATGCCAGTACCACTTTATCTTGATTACTGTAGCTTTGCAGTAAGTTTTAAAACTGAAAAGTGAACGCCCTTGAATTTTGTTCTTCTTTTTCAAGGCTGTTTTGGCTGTTCTTGAATTTCCATATGAATTTTAGGATAAGCTTGTCATTTTCTGCAAAGAAGCCATTTGGGACTTTGATAGAAATTGTGTTGAATCTGTAGACCATTTTGGAGAGTATTACCATTTTAAAAATGTTGTCTTCTTATCCATAAACATAGGTTGTCTTTCCAATTATTTAGGTTTTCCTTAATTTTCTTCAACAGTGTTTAGTAGTTTTCAAAACATACATTTTTTTTATTTCTTCTGTTACATTTATTTGTAATTATTTTATTCTTTTTGATGTTATTAGAAATACAATTATTTTTGCAGTTTCATTTCTAATTATGCATTTCTGGTGTATATAAATATAATCAATTTGTTTACATTGATCTTTAAGTTCTTTTGTTAGATTCATTCCCAAATATTTTATTATTTATGCTATTTTAGATGGAATTTTATTAATTTCATTTTTATTGTTCATTGCTAGTATATAGAAATACAACTGATTTTTG